GTTTGTATTTTCTACTTGTTTTAAGGCAGGGAAATTTATACGGCGACAAGTAGGTACATACGTTGATTTTTAAAGGCTTGTACAAGATTTTTGAGCGGAAATTCAATTTCGTTGGATTCTGTTTAATTGGATTTGAATTTTTAAAAGGTAATGAATTTTACCGATCGAACTGTTAGTTTAAGCGCGGCCTTTAATTGTATCACGAACATTATTTTACGTTACTCTGCAACGTTTCCTCTATGTAATATATTCAATGTTTGTATACGCGATCTTCGGCTTAAGAATTACTCAAATATTTGGTTTTAATACGAAGGATTGTTTTAAAGATCATTTTCACCTCTATAAATATTTATTATGTAAACCGTGTGTATAATTTGCGTAGAGCTTAAAGGATTTCCAATTTAACATTCGCACGTGAATTAAAACCGTTACTTGGAAAAATCATCGAACTCAAGAACCACACCTCTTCCTCGTGTTCAAACTTATCCGCCTGTGCAGTTCGTAAATTCACTTCTTAGGTTTCTAATGAATTTTCAAAATAAACCTTCAACGTATCTATGTATTTATCTATACGATTAAACAAACCGTGGAGTTTTATGCATTTATAAATAATTTGAAATATACGTAGATGTCATTCTAAATATCTATGAAACTATCGACTAAAGAATTATTATTCACGAGAATATAAGAAACAAAGATTATTAAAGTTACTTTATCTGGTACTCGATAACTTTATTTTGCTAAATTGATTCCTCGTCTCCTACACTTGCAGAAAGATATTTCTGTTGCGTCAAATACGTTTCCATCTTATATTATCTTCCACAAAGGTACTACACACGTATTGTCTTTCTATCTTAATTTCAATTTTATTAACTCGTCGCTTGTTGACTTTGTCAAATGTCCTTTGTTTACTTTGAAGTTGCGAAGCACGAAAAGCTTCCTAGGTACGTGTACCACTCGGTCTAATAAAAAACACTCAGGTGCACGAAAAAGAAAAAGGTTCAAACGCACGTTAATAGATGGCTATATTTAAAAAATTACTCATACTAAATATATTGAGAGCTAAGCGACTTTAATTTTATTAGCTCGTTTCCTGCTGTCTTTGATGTTGCGAAACACCTTCCTATTATTCTCATCTAATAATAAGCATTCGGGTGGACGAAAAAGAAGAAGATTCAAGCCTGGATCAACGGAAAATTCTACTTAAAAAATCAAATATCAAGAATCGAAAAACTTTTATTCATCTCGGATAATATCGACCCCGAGATGTATCTTGTTAAGATGATCCTCCTTCGAAGATTAGACGCTTCGTGACTACACAAAATGGTAACGAGCAACGCCCTCTCGTAAAGTATTTACAAAACAGGGGTAGGTCAGTGTGAAATTAAATGGCTGGAATTTTCAACGATTTCCATAGACAGTGTCTTTGAAATACCTAATCCTCGCTGTTTCACGTTTAAGCGAAGTAGCGCTCCGCTCTCCAGCTAAAAGCAAATAGCTATATTCTAGAGAAGTATTTGAAGCATTAACTGGCGAACAGATCCAAGAGGAAAAGTTTCGTGAAATTTACATCTTGAATTTCGTTATTTCATTTAACGCAGAGGGATTGGCGCCCGCTACGATCGATACGTTGGCAGATTTGCCTGCGGTTTTTCACGATTGTCGCGACGATTCTAATTGAGTTTCAGGAAAGAAATAAAATTAAACGTTAGCCGTTAATCGATGGCTGGAAAATAAAATGGATTGCCATGATTCGTCGTATTCCCCTGCCTTTTGATTCTTTCTCGTCTTTCGCGTTTCACGGTCCTCGCCAATTACTATATAGAACCGTACTTTTCTGCTGGCAACTTCAGTTTACGAGATTAAACATTAGCTGGTCCCGTTTCGTTTGATAAAACTGACGTCTCATATACGACCTGAGGCATTCTACGAGCTTGGCGCAGGTTTAATGGAAATGTTCGGTAAATATGGACACAGATAGCGAATGTTACTTGTATAAACATTCACTCTGATCGAGAACTAAAAAATCTGGAATTTTCTGCTCTCGTGCTGAATTACAGTGGTTCGCGAAAATATTTGAATACCCCCGCAAACTCCTTGTGTACATATTATTAAGAATATCTTGATATCCTATCGATACTGTGACATGATTAACGTATTATTAAAATTTCAAACGAGTATGAAAATGTACGTAGGAATTGCAGGATATTTACCGCAACTAATTGTATGTTTGACACTATTACTAATGTTGTATACTAATTTTTCGTTAAGCATATGTTTGCAATAAATGCCTTGCAACCTCTATATATACATCGAATTGGTTTCAAATTTTACATAATGTATTAATAACAAGAGTTCTGTGGAGAACGTTCGAATAGTGTATTTAATTACCCGTAATTGATATTGCGTATTTAATATAACCGAAGAAATAGTCTTATTCGTTGTGTTAATAATTAGCGAGAATACGAGTACGTAATAGGAATTTTAATAATCCCAGAATCCCATAGGCAAGCAAAAAAAAAAAAATAATTTAATTGAATTTGCTTTAGTTCAGTTTTATTTTATTTTATTTTAATGCAATTCTATTTTATTTAATTTCAATTTCCATTTTGCTTTCATTTTATTAATGATTTAATATAATCCTAACTCGATAACATAAATCACATAAAAAAGGATATATAAATAAATCGGTGCAATACGATGCAAACTAAATTTATGTACCAAAACTTTAACCACGCCTTATAGATACGATAACTAATTGGAAATTAAGTAAAAACTATTTGTAATAACCTGCATTGCTTGTCGGGTTGGAGGAGATATTTAATCAACAAATAATTTCGCTACGTTCGAAATCTTCTCGCTCCTTAATCCATTTTCTCTCTGATTACAGTAAACAGCATTAATTCCGTTCTCAATTAATTAATCTTATCAGTAGTATACTTATATCATTCTATAAAACATTAAGTAAGTGACATTTAAGCTAAAGAATTATTTTCCTATTATTATTTATACACTTTTGTTTACATATATCATTATAAAGATTAATGGAATAAACTAATAGGATAACACGAATGGAAAAATGAAAAGTCGATGAATTTTCATTTAACAAGCGTGTATCATTTGTAGCATTATGACAACTTAGCGATTCATTTGCTCAACAAGTACTATCTTCAATAACTAAATCGTTTTAAATTAGTTAAACCTTCAGTGTCCTATTTTCCTATTCACTAGACGACATTTTTAATACGAATCAATTCGTTTCGCTAAAGACACTAAAAATTGATTATTAAAATAGAACTATACATTTTATATATTTTACACTAGTTCATATGATTACAATAACCTTAATAAATAAACGATCCTAAACACTAACAGCATAAACAAGCTTATCTCAAGTATATCAATATTATACCAATATGTAAAAGTTTATATTTCCAAAATACTTGTCTTCAAAAGTAAAGCAATCACAAACTAGGCAGAAAATAAAGTAAACAATCGTATTGCTCAACAGTCTTAACAAATAAAGCTACGATGCTAAAAGTAACAAAAATTGCTCCATACATATGTCCTCACAATTAAATTACGAATTAAAAAGGAGAAAAGGATTAAAATTACCAAACCGAATGTAAGGAAATGAGAGAATCATTCTGTATTATGTTTCCCTCGCTAGTGGCGGGATATTCAAACTTTTAATAATAATGGCGTCTCTTCAAACAAAGTTACAAGAAATCACATATCCAAAAACTTTTACCTCGTAATAACGGTATTACTATACCACCGAATAAGTAAAAAATTAAGACTCACCGAGAAAACAGTATAAGCAACGAAGATTTACAGCTCGGTCTTCGCGAGACAATAGTGGCGGTTGGTGACAGACAAGTGGTCGAGAAGAGTATCCGCTACTGCACAGTCATAGACATAGATCGTGCACCCGAATTGTCCCGTCTGTCGGTGGATATTACGTGCAACGACCTCCGTGATTCGTTTCTTGCGCTACGCGAATAGGTGCACCTGTTTACGTGCCACTTAATGTCACGTACACGCACGAAATAGCTCGAGAATCATCCACGAATCGACACGGATTCGCGGTTACTAATCGCTTACCAAACGTCGATTACGTCGTTAGCGCTTGAAAAAACATTCGAATGTAATTGTTTCGAACGATAAAGGAGCTTTGTAATATAAACGATCCAGTTCCTACCGCGTTCACAGTCGAAGCGGTACTGCGAGGCTCGTCGCGACCCGGCGTCCCCTTCCACCATCGACCCCGAGCCCAATAGCCAATCAGCGTTACGCATTCTCCAACGTTCAAAATCCTTCCGTTGGATCCACGGACGGCCGATGTCAGTTATGCGAGGGGGTGGAAAGCACTTTTGGCGGTCTCACGTGTTGCTTCGCTGTAAACATGGATGATCTGGATTTGATTCAATTACCCAAAACGGGAGAAACGGTGTTTGAGTGGCGGCGCGAAAATTGCCGATTTCGTTGCGCATATTGACAAAGATTGCGACGAGGGATCTGTGTGGTATGTACTATATAGCTTTTCTCGCGGGTTATGTTTCTTTATATCGTATATCGAAGCACACGCTTGACGTTTCAAGAGAAGGTTTGCATGCCTTGTATAACTTGAACTGTAGTTTAGATTTACAACTTTACTTTAGTCTATATGTTTTCTTACTTTTCATTATTTGAAGTGCCATTCCTACGCACTTTTGCGAGAGGTAATCTGTGATATTTGTAAATAGGTACTACATATATACGCACGTTAACCTGTAAATGTGTAATATTGCTGTTTGGTTAGGTCTATATTTTCTGATATGACAAATATATGTATGGGAGCCATCTTGCACAAGTAGACTAATATTATTAGTGTAATTTTATAAATTACAAGTCATAAATTATTCCTTTTTCCAAACAAGGAAATATACGGGAAAAAATAGAACAGATTCTTACGATTATTTTTGTGAAGTTTTGTAATATACGAATTAGCATTTTTTTTATTACATTTGAAAAAGTCATGTATTCGAGTATTCATGAGAAAGGAGAGACAGAAAAGGAATGCAAAGATGGAAAGTTTCGAATATGTAAAACGTAGTGAAATCCATAAATGATTTCATAACTGCTCTTGAACATTTCTTATAAACAAACAAGTCATCTCATACTTTCCTACAGAGGAAGTACATCATATTCATCAGAAAAAATTCCATTGATGTGGTCTACGAATGTTTATGCATCCAGTCTGTGATTATTTTCTTTATCTTGAAACATACGTTATAGTTTTGAAGGTTATTTTTACATTATTTGTTCACAATCGTTATAAAGAGACCGGAAATGTATTCAGGCCACGCACATGCTTTACTGCTGTATACGTACCATCGATGTTAAAAAACAACTCGTACCGAAAGGATTAATATAATTTTTATTTAGATTTTTTATTTCGTATTCATAGACGAAAACTGTTGTGTTGTTTCTCCGCAAATATGTAAAGCGATTCCATTATATTATAAAGTTTTGAAAATCGATAGTTTTCGTTATTCATTTCGTTAGTTAAAATAGTTAAATGACTTTCCAGAAACAAATCATGCTTCATGGACATTTTGAGTTTAGTTAGCGTAAAAGTTAAACCTTGTTCTGTAATTACTTAAGTTACACGAAATTAAATGGATTTCAAGTAGCTGGTATGTAAATAATACTTAAACTAGCATGTAATGCTTAAATCGTAAAATAAATAGCGTATACATATAAAATCAGTTGAATTTAGGGAATCAATATCGATAAACGCGAAACTATAAATAACATCTTTAAGTCAAAGATTATTTGAAAGAATTTCAACTTCACTTCAAACCTGAAAGGATATTTCAGGTCAAGTAAATAACAAATTTATACCGGTATAGTGATCTCGAGTTTCTTGAATTCAAACAATTTGTGTAATCGGTACGAGAATGTATGCAACATGGGATATTAAAGAGAATCGCACTGGGCATTATTGCACCATGTACGTCATAAATCGTCGATGAAAGCTCTGATGCGGGCAAAAAAGTTTATAGGTTCGATAAATAAACTGTTCTCTGTAAATGATGGGTTAAAAAGTAGGTAACCAGCGTTAATATCAATAGGATATCATTCCATCGAATAATTTTAAGGATCTTTGTAATATAACATATCCTTTAGATAAAAGATAATTGTTAGTTTTATAACGAAGCAACAAAGTAATTAACAAAGTAATTAGATTTCTTTCATCTTCGTCTTTGAAACTATCGATAAATTATATTTACATCTTCCAAAAAATCATATTTTAATCCTTAATAATGCTCTCAGTTTTGTAGTATTTAATATCTTTTGATTTATCCGAGATTTCTTCGAATCTAATACAGAATTCAAAATGTTTCACGTATTTATCGTAGTCCATAAATTATGCTTACAAACTTGGTTCATATATGTACGTATGTGTATTATACATTATTGTATTTAAGAATTTATATGATTTTCCCATGAAATGCCTCTAGTCTGTAGGAAATAGTCTGTTACTATTATGGTTTAGATGGAAGAATATTACGACATGTCGTTTAACTGTATGATACCATCTATTAATGTACCAACGATGACTTTAATGACGGTCTAGTGGATATTGCGCTACAACTTTGATCGACGTGACTTGTTTCTATGATGCACTTCGACAAGCTGATTTCAACGAAATCAAGTCAAACGAAGTTTCTTACGTTTAATATTCATATAAACTTACTATGTACGTATGTAGTTTGTTTCAATAGCACCTATGTAGTTTAAGAAACTCGTTGATGACGTTGTTTCAATAATACAATCATAGTTGTATTTACGATAATCATGATTCTGATGCAGACTATTAGAGAACGATATTTTTTAAGAACAAAAATCGAGATTGAAATAATCTTGAAAGAAGAGTGAAATAATTGTAATTTTTCAACCATTTAATTCTGCGTTAATAACAAAATACAAGAACGTGTTAAGTATATATTACTACTAATTTAATTATTTATATAATTAATAAACAATATTCTTAATTCACAATTCTTATATTATTTAATTGTATACTATTAATGAAACGATTTTATATAACTTGCAATTCGATGGAAGAAAAACATGAATGAAATATTTAAACATACCTACGTACATAGATTTCCAATAATTTTACGTAACTTTATGAATTAACACGTTACAATATACTTTACGATATAGCTGTTACATTTATTAAAAATGATTCTTGTTCAATTACATTCGCCACTTACATTGCGGAAGCGTAAAATTATTTCAAACAATATGAAAATAATTTATCGTGAAAAATATTTCACGTACCGTTTCTCGCTTTTATCGTAAATTAAGCACGTTCCCATTTCTTGCCGTAAGAAATAATGGATAATCGATAACAACAGCGTAACGAAAGTAAAAATTATTGTTCATTCAGTTTTAAACGTAATTTTATCGGCTGTAGTTCTTCAGCTACTTTGATTCTACTCGATTTCAAAGAACAGATTTAAATAATAGCAGGCTTAACGTATGAAATATAACGTAGAAACATTACCGCGACTGTCTTGAACAGATTTCCGTCTGTAGATGACTTTAAACGTTTCCGTATCTCGTAATTTGCGAGAAACGAATCTCATGCATTTCTACGAGACCTTGCCCTGTCCATCTTACAGTTCCTTCCTTGATTGACTTTCAAATTTCCCCCTGGATTCTAGGCTGTCTCTGTCATATAGAGCGAAGAGTTCGCTGACCCTCAAAGCAAAGGGACAAGCACATGGAAAGTCTGCCTTTGCGGTTGGAAGTAAGCATAATTTACGATACGATGATCTAATCCCTTCATCACGCTTGGAATATACATGGCTGCCTGTAAAAGAGCGCAGTTTTATATACAGCAAGTTGCAAAGAAAAGGTATGTGTCTTTTTCTGACCTTATAGTACTCACCCGAGAGAAAAGGAAATTTTAATCAACGTTATATAATATTTGAAATGCAATTGCCTGGGCAAGAAAAAGAGAAAAATATTCTTCCGCATTGATAAAAAATATTCCATTTGACTTTCTGTTTTAATATATCGCGGGTACGAGAAAATATTTGCGCATGTCCATATTTTCCAATGAACCGTTTTCCTATCAGCTTTTATATTTCATTTTCGCAATATCAAATCTTTGTAATCGTATGAAAGTACCACGAAATAATACCAAGTTTAATACATGTACGGTATATCTATATTCATATTATTTAAATACTTTTCGTAGTCACTGTACAACTACCATCTGTGGATAATACATAAATATATTTCTATTTATTCCTTCTGTAACCGGTATTGCACGACATGCATTATTTATTTATTTTTTCGTGTGTCCACAATAGGTAGAATTCTCTTTATGTGTATTCATAAAAGAAAAATTCAATGAAATCAAATCACATGATGGAGGAGATTTTATTGGACACGTTTCTTCCATCTATTCTATCGAAGGTTCGATTTAAACGTTCGATTTAAATGTTAAATAAAAGGTACGGCATATCAAATAAACGGGATTAATTTTAGGATCTACACTTATCAGACTACACTTTCTACTTCTCTCATTAAACATGTACTACAAATTTACGAAGTTTTAGATCACTTCCTTGTAACACTCTCTCTCTCTCTCTCTCTCTCTCTCTCTCTCTCTCTCTCCATATATATGTATATATAAATATGTATATATATATATCCTTTTAAAATTCTAAAAAATTATACAGATTCATAAAAATATAGTTAAAGACTCTGCAATCTGCAGCGGTTTTTAAATAAATATATATAGTTTTTAAATAAATATTAAATTTCTTCCGACTATTCGTATCACATTACGATTACGCTGTTTTAGTTCTATAGCTTACGAAGTTAGTTTAGAAGTCGAAGTTTACCTCACAGGCTTACACAGAAGTATTAGTAGAAGTTTTCCTATCAAAAAAAAAAAAAAAAAGAAGGAAAAAGTTGTAATCGCTTTAATCCGCAGACTGTAGTTAACACACTGTTTCGATTTAAAAGTTAATTCAATTAATCCGTAACATCGAAATGTTGCTAACTGTTATTTTATATTGCGCATATTATTCGATATTTAATCGTTTGATGAATACCATAGATATCTGATATTTAATCATTTAGATGAATTTCATAGATATCTGATATTTAATCGTTAGATGCGTTCCATCGAAGTTTCATATTTATCTGTCCACGTCCTCTAAGGGAAGATTTGATATAAAATAATTTTTATAACGTTCTAAGACATTTATAAAGTGATTACGTAACACTTTATGTTAATTCGGAAATTTAAATAAATTAGAGAATTATCAACACCATTCGTTGTTATAATGATGCTTAATAACTCGGAATACAAGCAGCTTTCAAGTAATCGGATAAAATTTATTATGCTGCTAAAGTAAAAGTATGATTTATACAAGGTAAAATCTCCTTTGTAAGTAGCGTGATGCTCGTAATGTCAGGCACACGAAGTATACGCGCATATTATATCACGTAATTTTAGCTTTATTCCATCTCTTAATCGCTTGGTTTAAAGAAGCCGTAAGTAACAAGCGAATCCATAGCGTAAAATAGTTTTATTAAACTTGTCAACGGATATAAGAAATATATACCCGTAGTATTCAATTACAAATTTAAATGTGAAAAATAACGTTCGGAAAAATTTGTGACATATCGAGAAATTTTATACTCGTGTCCAGAACTAAATTAATAACATATATATTATTCGTTGAAAATTATATTTATGTACATATATGTAAACATAATATACATAATATCTGTTAATTAAAAAATTAATTAAGCAGTATTATTACCATTCGTATCTATTATTTTTCATTGAATAAAAAATTAGTATACACCAGCTCATGTTCGTTCTATCGATCTTATATTTAAGTTTCAAAATATATATCGAATTTCGATTTTCCATCGTGCTTCGCTTATGATTCATAAATATTAATTAGCATGCGATATTAATTGACGTTATAATTTAGAGTGTTCGATATTCATTTACATTTATATTACTTTCGCGTTATAGTTAAATATTTAACGTTAGTTAAATATTTTATTATTTGAAAGACTTGTATCTATACCTCATATGCGACAAAAATTGAGAATTATTGACGTTTTTTAACTTAAAAATCCTACTTTTATTTCAATTAAATCTCGATCTTTAAACTTTCATTTATTCGCGTCAAAATTAAATCTTAAGCTTCAATCCTACGCTTTCCTATGTAAAAACCTTTTAATCCTTATTTTTCGAATAGTTCGCGAGAATTGATCTTCGCGCAAGAATTAACGCCACTCAGGTACTAATTGATTCCATCTCCAGAACGCTTAAGTGACATTCGATTGTCGCTCGAGTAGTTCTTATCCTCGCTGTAAAATACGGCAGAATTTCGATTCCTCGATCATTAATTACATTATGAGACTACTTTCGCACGCTTTTCCATTCCACGCCGTGATTCCCCTCGCCTAACCACTCTTTCGTTATAGCGCCGATCAGACTTTCAACAAAGTCACGATTAATCTCGATAATGAAATTTTCATCGCTATCGCAATAGCAAAGATTACTCTACGTTAAACTATATCTTTTTTTTAATTCACAGAATGCATTAATACGTTGATCGCCACGTGAATTTTATAGATTTTGGCCAATAGATCAAAAAACAGGATGATTCTACGTGAAAAAAATGAAAGATAGGAGAAACACCCGGTATAATTTATTACAATTAATCTTTTTTCATCCGACGTTTCGTTATCGATAAAATCGAGTTTGAAGATTTAACTGGTATACTTAAATTTTTGCAAAATTTATTTCACATTTTCGACTCGGTTTTTCACGCAGAATCAGCCATCGATCGCCCCTATCGCAATATTTTTCACTCCATTTACATTATTAAAAGAAACATTATACTTTCCCAAGGTATTGTATTATATTCGCGCACTCTTCTCCGACAACGTTAGCTAATTCCTTCATATCGTTGGAAATTCTTTAGCCCGTGAGATTTATCCTATTTTAGCGATCCTGGAAAATTCAATGAATAACAGTCGATTCGATCGATACGAGGAATTTTAAAGTTCGTTCCTCGGTATTCCTGTAATTTCATTATTCGCGTTTCATTCGCTGGAAACTTGCGTTAATTTGTTCGCCAACTGGAAGTTACATAAGCCCGTTGATTTTTATTTCCACGAACTGTTAGAATGGGATAAAATTTTGTTGCCATAAGTTCTATTTAACGCAGAGTTATCAACCGCGAGCTATTGCATAAAACTTATTACTTATTGTATAGAACTTTTAATATATCGTAGATCAACAAGGTACTAAGATTATGAAAAATAATTTCACGTGGCTGAGATACGACGGAGATTTGGAAGATTTCGGAGATTTATGCTCGTAATATTAAGACTTATATACGCGACTCGAATATTTATGTATTCTCCTTTAATATCCTTAATCCCTTCGACGTATAAAATTTACAAATTGCCATTTTAACACGCTTCAAATATAGTTCACGTAAACTACACGCGAACGATGTGCTTTCGAATTTATCAACTAAGCGTTATACGTTGCTCAATGTGGACATTACTTATGTACCACGGAATGTACGATTATAGTTACAAACGCAGTTTCTCATCCGAAAATACAGATTTGTTAATGGTATAAGTTACAATTGCACAATAACGAGTCATAGCAAAAGAGATTACCGTAACTTCGAATATAACTTTTATCGTTACGATTCTATGTTAACGTTGTATTTGCATCCGACAGTTTGTTGAATTGCGTAATTTCACGAAGATTGCAAACTAAGTTTAACTTGGCTTAAGGATATAAGTTTAACGATAAGTGAAATCTGCCAGTTTCTTCCCTTTTTTCTTCTTCTTTTTATTTTGCTTATTTGCTTATTTCATGGGTTTCGTATAATTCTTATCTATCCAGGAATAATTTAAATATAGAAAACAACTCAACGAAATGAGAAATACACGTTTGTTTCGTGTGCGATTAAAAAGTTGTATCCGACGAATTTAATATATCAATTAAGTATTATATCGAAGAGATATTCGTTTACGACAGACAACACACGATACACTGGAATGTTATTTCTGCAAAATTGTTTAGGATTGTTCTTTGCATATTTAATAATACGTATCTTGTAAGTTAAAAAAGATACTCGTGACGTTCTTTTTTTTCTTTTTTTTTTTTGTTTATTAATGTAACTTTTACATACTGCCGTGTCCGCTGAAATAAATCCGAATATTATGTTCGATACATCGATGTTAAAACGTCTTTAATATATTCGATATAAATATATCGAATTCAATTTATTTTCAAATTACATTATTATTTAATGCTGGCGATTAACAACCATTTCCAATTGCATATTTAATGATGCATCTATTATCAGAACTTATTAAAACATCGCATCTCATCGAAGATCGCGTTATTCTGTGATTGCTTCGTACTCGCTACGTTGTATGTACGTGCACGTAATGAGAATCGAAATTTATCGAAGGAGGAACTGCGGTCTGTGAATAATTTTTTAACAAAAGCGAAGAAAAGAATCGCGTTGAATCTAGCTAAGTATCTCTGTCTGTTGTTACAAATATTGCGTTAACATTGTGCAGGAGGCGAATAAATCGTAGAGAAATGGGGAATCGAAGAGACAATTACGCGATAAAAATTAACAGGAGAAAATAATCTACTGATAAACGAAAGCTTGGTTCTGTTAATTTTTATAGGATAGTCTGCTTTTTAATTTTTATTTATAGATATAAGGCTAACCATTAGAAATACTTATCGAAATTTAACGGAATTTTCTGTTAAAATTACATCTATCCTGATCGAAGGAAATTTTAATTAATTTCATTCTTAAAACTTAACGAAACAAAGTAAATGTCTGCTTAACATTCATCATACATAAATTGAATTCGTTAAAATCGATGTAGCAAATACATTTCACCATGATGAAAATGTTTTAACGTTTGCATTGATATAATAGTGTTTGTACCGGTGTATTTATCGATAATATGTTTACTTGAAATACGTGAAAACGAAGTATAACTACGACAGGCTGTTCAAAAACAGAATGTAAATTATTGAACGTACTTTCGTACTGTGACGATAAATTGTGGGGATTGTTAATGAATTATTATGCATTCGGTAATAAAATACGCTCGCAAAATACAACATCTTTTTGCTTGGAAGCTTTGATATTAATATTAAATATGCAAACAGGATATACAGCGTGATGAAGGCTATTCATTTAGTTTGCTTATTACTTTATAGAATGTTATAAACGTTAACTTCATATAGTTTAAGAAAATTATCACGGAATATACGTCACGTTGCACATGGAACGTTTGCGGTGACATTTCAAAGGCTGATTAACAGAATGTTATTATTGTGCCGTGGAGAAATACGATTAGTACGCGGAATTTACTCGAAACTATAGTAGAAAAATGGTAACACGACGTTTATTTAATTAGAATTTCATTTTACGTTTCAATCGTTCTTCGGCAACCTTCTTGTAGATTTGTAAAAGAGGCTTTTTTTCTTGTGCTAATTTCAATCTTGTAATTTTGTTAATCATTTAATGTTACAATAACTACGATTAATATGTTGTATAATTAATATTTAATATAATTAATTGTCGTATAATAAAAATTCGTAATTCTTTCGAAGATTGACAGTATGTAAGCGTGAAGCTGTAAGTAAACGTTGGTTTATACATAGCACAATAATAGTATAAGAAACGCTTATTAAAATAATAACGCAAATAAGAAATGAAATATTTCCTTAAAAATGAAAGCATGTCGATCGAATGCAGTTGATCGTTACGTTTTATAGCTTATACAATTTTTCTGAGAGTCGTCTTAAATAATGAACGTCTTTAACGAAGTCAAGTTAAAAAATATTACTTTTTGCATTATTTATCATTAAACATGTTTATTTAATAGAACGAGTAAAACAGTCCCGGAAGGATTTGAGTTTTCATCGTCCTTCTTTCCGAGAAATTATGCTCTTGGTGCAGCAATTTCAACAATTTTCTGCAGTTTCCAAAATTATTTTAATACAACTTTCAACTGAAAAAATTGTAAGAAATTGTCAGAATTTAATATTAGGAAAAAAACGTAATATCGATGTTGAAGGAATTTATAAAGCGACACAAAAATTATTAATTTCTCAAAAGCAATTGAAAAGAAAAGCATGTTTCTCTTTTTGGGAAGCTTTTAACGGTGTTTCATATTAAGTGCAATTAACTTGCAAATATTTATATTTGCGCAGCTCCTTCATTTTGAAATATTTGCAAAATTTGCTGCATATTTCATGTTCGTTCCATCTTCCGAAATGAAAATAAAAATTGTTATTCAACGTCTAAATATATTTCATTGTGCTCCATCTTTCGGAAGATTGAAAGTTTCTTCTTCTTTTTTTCTTCTTTTTAATAATTATATCGGACCGTAGTAAATACACAAAGATATTTAATTTTGTACGATAAAACAATTTTTACTGTAACATTTTATTTTATATTTCACTATTTGGAGAAATATTATATTTCAATTAGTATACATAAAAATGAGACTTTGTAAATATAATTCCAACGAACGTTAATTTAATTCTAGTAGTTTTCACAATTAACAGTTTAATCCTACACTCGGCATTTTACCGACGATAGTTGGTAGATGAATATTTCTTTTTAAAAAAAATTCGTCTCCGTCACGGCTATATTAAAGAGAAGCAATTAATCGTTCAACTGCTTC